TCTTCCAAATTACGTGCGAGTTGCCGTAACGAGCGTTCTTTTTCAGTCGGGCAAAGGATATCCGACCATTTGTTTCATGATCTCTTCAAACGAAAATCAGGAATTTTTTCCGGAAGGAAATGAGCTCGCGATGCTCTTCAATAGAGCACGAATCTGTACTTTCGCGACATATCACCATCGACATCGCAGATCTGAACCGTATTCTCGAGCGTAGATCCTTCTTTGTCTTCGCTCAACGAGCGAATTCATACGTCATTTTCTTCGACGATTAATCATTGGGCATTGAATATACTGAGACTCACGTTACCACAGCTTTTCTAAACGCTTCTCGAGGATCAATTACGCCGCGCAAAATGTTTCCTCACTGAACACGATTAATACGATGAGTCGTCGTGATTCCTCTCGCGACGACTTCACGCTGTGGAGTTTCTCGATCTACAGATCCACGTCTCGTGTAGCTCACACGAGATGTTTCTCGAGATGAAAGATTGTTCGTGAATACCGAGTAGATCGCACATAATTTTCACTTCCGCAACACCATGGCGGTCACTTCAGGTTTCGTCCATCTTTCTCTTTCTCTCTCTCTCTCTCTCTCTCTCTCTCTTTCTCTATTTCTTTCAAAGTGCAATGTCAGTCTTTTTCAGCCAACCCACGATCGCTCAACAAGTCCATCGGCGGTCAGTACTGAAGTCAATTCACTCATTGTTGCGCAATTTTAAACACATGGACCATGTACATCTTTCTTGAGTATAATCCAATCTTACCCGTTTACATGTTTCTCCTCTGCCTTGTTATTCGAGTGTTTTCATTTACCTGAGTGCAAACGCGAGTGCGAGAGTGAGCGCAACATTTTGGGGGCTACATGGTTCTCCGCGTTTCCACTTCTCAATGGCGAGTGCCACGTTCTGCCTGTTTGTGCTCCGACCATTCCGGCCAGTGGCATTTGCGCGATTTTTCTTCCGATGAGTCCACCCACATGCTGTCCTGTTCCACTCTTCCGGGTTAGATTCAGGGCCAAATGTAGTCTCTTCTCTATCTATATAACACTCGTCGACAAGTCCGCCGGATACAGCTGGGTCAACTGGCAGCCAACACGGGCTTTTTACCGTGAACCCGAAACATGTCTGTCTTCTTGTTGTCACGTATAAACTCACATCTTTTCACCAAGTCGCGTGATATCTCACATCAAGGTAGCTATCACAACCTGAGGCATCACAATCTCCACTTTTCAACCGTTTACATCGAAACGATCATACGTCTCTTGGTTCCTATCAAGGATTAGCGATGAATCACAACCGAGCACGACTTCTTCTCTTTGTCGAGGTGCGCAGATCCATGTCACTCCACTGTGCGTAAATTTCTCTCACTTAATTCGACCGCGATTATAATTGAGTGGTAATTTTTTTCCACGGTGGCTGACACACGGAGATACGTTTTTCAAATTCGTGGTACGACGATCCACGAGCCCGCGGACGAACGAGCGAAGGAGGAATTCGAGCGGAAACGACGCGGTAACCTAGTTTCCAGCGGGAGCGCCGCTCCTCCCGGCATGCAGCGCGTAAAAATGGCTCCAGCAGCAGCAGCAGCAGTAGCAGCAGCAGCAGCAGCAGCAGCAGCAACAGCAGCAGCAGCAGCAGCAGCAACAGCAGCAGCAGCAGCAGCAGCAGCAGCAGCAGCAGCATCAGAAGCAGCAGCAGCGGCAGCAGCAGTAGTAGCAGCAGCGACAGCAGCGTTGGAATATCGGGACGTCGTGACTTCTCGGGACGGCAATGAGAGCGCGAAAAAATGCTCGCTGGGTCCCAGCTGATTCGTAGCACCGTGCAGCAGTGTCGCGTTTCGTCGATTCGTCACCCGGATACCATTCCAGTCTCTCTACCCAATTACCGGAAGTTCTCTCGCGACAACTATATCGTGAGACAAAGTGAGATGGAGAAAGAGCGAGGGGCGGAGAGAGGAGCGGTCATCCTGAAGGAAGACTGTCTCTAGATCCCCCAACAGGTCCTGCGAAAAACCCGATTCCTCTGCGAGAATAACCTCCGCGCAAGCAAAATGGTGGACGGCACTCCCGAGAGCCAACTCGCACCTCCACTCAGCTCAGTTTCCGCCCGATTGAACTTCCTGCAATGTTGCAAATCACTTGCACGGTCACTTTCGAAGAATAATGTATCCGCGCGCCCGTTAAGAGGCGCGAATAAAGATTCTCCGAGGTTCACTCCCGAGAAGGAGACGCGTAGCCCTTCGAAATGGACTTTCCGCACCGCTTCCACTTCGACGCGCGATTCTCACTCCGATGCGTGCGTGCGTGCACGCGCGCGCGCGCGCGCGGCCGCGCGCGAACAAGAACCCTCTTACGCTCACACTTTCTCAAGCTCAACACGCTCGGTGTCGAGCGTATTCCTTCTAGCCGCTGCCGACCGCCTTCAGCGTCGTGGATGGGCCCGTGGGGCTTGTCGGCAGCGTCGGCAAAATCCTCGCCGAGAGCATTCCAGGTAGGGTGGATCGCACACGTCGCGCCATCTGGCGACTTCGCGGTATACACAACCTCTCGTCATGGCGGCCGGACCAACCCCCGAGTCAATAATAGGGCCAGCGAACGCAAATGTCGAGACCGTGGCGTGTACGCGGTATCATGTAGAATAACATCATTTCCTTAACGAACACGCGGCGAACACGGATGTCGTGGCTGGTACTCTTTGTAAGGATGCTGAGCACTTCGGAGTCACCCTTGCCTGCCTTCGTTCTCGTTTCTTTCTTTCCTCTTTTTTATCCACACGCGATCACGACGCGGGGCCACCCTCTTCAAGGTACTCGGGCGGCTGCGCGATTCGCACTGAGCGCACCCCCGCATGAGAACTGAGAGGGTGCGAGCAGTGGCCAGGGGTGTGACTAGAAACTCTGGAAGTTCATACTTCCGATAATACCCGCATCTTTCGTGTCGCAATAAATTTCCGTATTTAGCTGTTGCTCACGTGAAGATAAGAAGTTCCTCGGCTCTTCTCCACGGCGTCCGCGGTAAATAAAAAAAGTCTGCAAAATCTCGCTTATGTGGTGCGACATTTTTCTCTGCTTATTTTCTATATGCATTAAACAAATATTTATTTATTGTACTGTTATTATTTTATTGATAACTTGTGTACGCTAAGTATATGTAGTATATATATTGTATATATATATATATATATTGTGTGGCACGTATGTGTGTGTATATATATATATATATATATATATATATATATATATATAGTGTGGAATATTTATAGCAATTAAAGCGATTATAGCGAGTAAAGTCATTATCGATAAAGTTTGTTTCATTCCTCTAAGTTATTACAAACGGAACCCTGAAGACGAGCTCCTGTCGAGATTGCACGAGCATCGTCGGAAATACGCGATACCTGCAACGAAACGTCCCGATGCTTTCACGGACGCGTCGCGCAGATTTTAGGGATTTTTCTGGATAGTGCGGAGGTGGCAAGAGGACGAAGAGAAGAAACAACGGAATGAGAACGGGCGGGCAAGAGAGGATTATTTTGTTGCTGGTATTGAATATGAATAATCAGAGAATGTATCTACACGAGGGGGTGGTTTTTGGAGAGTTATAATGTTTTGACTGAAAACGAAAGAATGCAAGCGGTCGTAAAGAAAAAATACGAAATATGAAATTATGAAAGAAAATTAACCGCAGCTTTGTGACAAGTTAAATATTTACGAAGTAATTATACGAATTTTGTTTAGGGAAATTATGAGAATTATAAAAAGAAAAAAAAATAGGTCACCATGTTGCGTTACCAATTTGATAAGATAAAATAAGATCAAATAAGATAAAATAAGCGCGAAAAACTGTGAGATCGTTATAACTGAAACACAGCGGGTCGAATATATTAGAGATAAATGTTGAAGAATTTTTCAAACTATTTTATATTAAACTAGATTTAATTTGATTTATATCCCGATATGCAGCTATGTTGTATTAATCTAATACGAATATGTCCCTGAAGATGTAAAACGCTCGTGCGGTTATTTTCGCGTCGAGGCAATAAATTTACAAAGACCGCCGGAATTTCGGTATTTTCATTAGCTAGAAGCACTCGACGTGTTTTCGCGATAAGAATGCAATCGCCGTCAATCACTACTACGATTTCTAACCAATATTTGCGTGCCGCTGGGTATTTTCCCAAAACCAAAAGCCACCTCATCGTCTCAGGAACGGCTTTATGCATAAATAACTGTGCGTTCCTTTTCCGAAAAATTACTAGTAAGATATTCAATATCGTTGTTATTAGCTAATATTACTACAAAAATTATAAATAATAAGATGTCTGTAAATAATTAGAGTATATTTAAAAAATATCATATTAAAATTTCGGTTTATATATATATATAATATGTATATATATAATTATATATATATGTATATATATATATATATGTAATTATATACGCACGCACGTGCACGCGTGCGCCCATACACAACACACACACACACACATGCACGCACTCACGCACGCACGCACGCACGTACGCACGCACGCACGCACGCACGCACGCATGCACAAACACATACACACACACACACACAGTATTCTGAAAACTCTTTATACATTTTAGATGCTTCAACGTTTAAAAATATCTATATATAATTGTGTGAACTCGTGTGAACTATCTATCTAGAATTTAAAATCTACATTCTTATATGGAGTTTCATATTGTAAATTTACGATCATGAATTTAGATGTTTTAAATTTCACAGTTTAGAAATCTCGGAAATTTTATAATCTAATACATTCAAAACTCAAACTTTGTTATAATTTTTGTCATTCTATCTTTCGGAGATCTTTGAGAATTTGGATTTATATGACATTAGTCGTCCCTGATTATGCTTTTTGCAGATTGCCACTGTTGGAAATATACATGACTGAACGCGCAAATCATCAAATCACGCGGCACATAATGAAGCTATAAATAAGTCGCATCCTTATCGGAATGTAAATGTACTCACTTCGCTTCTTCCTCTTGCCTTGTAAGTACCGATCTCGAAGCTACAGGGGTCAGTCCGATTCCATCAGGACGCGTAATATGTGACTTACATCCTGCATATTTTGAAGAAAGATGTCTTGCACCAAGGATGCAGAAGTGCCCGACAAAAGGAAGATCACCGTTTGGCCGCAATGGCTGGCTGTCCTTACGAGTAAGCCCTTCATTGTTGCAACTAACTGCATTTAAAATAATATATATATATATATATATATGTATAATTGAGAAGTAAAAATATCTACGAACGATAAATCGATGAATTTTCTATTATTTAATAATCGCAGTAAATATATATGGGACGTTCCACGTTAAGTGGGACAAGTATCTGGGAAAAATTCATGAAGTCAAAATAAGATGCTTGAGGGCTTAAACTTTTCGTTTTTATGTGTAGTTTAAGAAGAAACGTGGCCTTTTGAAAAATTGAAAACGGCCGCACCAATATGACGGCTTGAGTAGATGAAAAACTTATAGTACTGAAAACTTTTATTGGGGACTTGAATAAGTTCTCGCTGTTTCTTCGTGAAAATGAATTTAAAAACATTAATAAAGAACATGTCATTGAAAGTATTGTCCATCGCTAGCCACTACTTTCTCCCATTTTTCTGGCAGCTTACGAATACCATGTCGAAAGAACGATTCATCTCTTGAGGTTATCCACGAATCGACCCATTTTTTGGCATCTTCATAAGAATGGAAGTGCTGCTCAGCCAGGCCATGAGTCATCGATCGGAACAAGTGGTAATCAGAAGGAGCAATGTCCGGTGAATATGGCGGGTGGGATAGGACTTCCCATTTGAGCGTTTCCAAGTAGGTTTTGATCGGTTTTGCAACATGTGGCCGAGCGTTGTCATGCTGCAAAAATTACTTTGTCATGTCTCTCCTCGTATCGAGACCGTTTTTCCTTCAATGCTCGGCTCAAACGCATCAATTGTAGTCGATAGCGATCTCCCGTGATGGTTTCGTTGGGTTTGAGGAGCTCATAATATACTACACCCAGCTGATCCCACCAAATACAGAGCATGAGCTTGGAACCATGGATATTCGACTTTGCCGTCGATGTTGATGCATGGCCGGGCTTACCCCACGATTTTATACGCTTCGGGTTATCGTAGTATATCCACTTTTCATCGCCAGTCACGATACGATGCAAGAAACCTTTCCTTTTCTGCCGTTGGAGCAGCGTGAAAAACGCGTGAAAAAACGCCATTCGACGTCTCTCGGCTTCAATTCGTACGGCACCCAATTTCCTTGCTTTTGAATCATTCCTAATGCTTTTAAACGTTTGGCAACTGTTGTGTGATCAACTAATGATTCTGCAAGTTCATTTTGCGTCTGACATGGGTCTTCATCGAGTAATGTTTCCAATTCTTCGTCAGTCAAACTTTTTCAGTGCGCCAGAACGTTCTTTATCTTCAACATCAAAATTATTATTTTTAAAGCATCTAAACCAATCTCTGCATATTGTTTCCGACAGAGCATGGTCGCAGTAAGTCTCCACAAGAATTCTATGTGCTTCAGCTGCAAATTTTTTTGAAAAAAGTAATGCAGTAAAATTCCCCGCAAATACTCTTTTTTTGGCACGAAATTCGACATGTTTAACGCTATGAAAAAATATGTTGTTTACGCTTCGGCGGAATAACATATATTGTCACTTCGAGCCTAATAGTGGAGCTTCACGATGAAATTGGCTGCAATATTGCCCGATACAGAAAGGCTAAGATAACACCATCTGTCGGGAAACAGCGAGAACTTATTCAAGTCCCTAATAATTCATTGATCAGGTGATTCAAAATTCATTCGATTTCCATGAAAATCGGTATCTCGGGGGTTTCGGGTCATTCATAAACATTCCGTAGTCAGGTGCCCGAAATTGAAAATGGCGAATCCAATATGACGGTTGTAGTGCATGAAGAATTGACTACAACGCTTAGATTCTTAATCGTGTGATCCGAAATTAATTTATTTTCCCATGAAAATAGGTATGTGGGAATTTTCCAGGGAGCATTTTTCGACAAGATTCTGAAAAAAATGTACGAACAATTAGAAAATACATTCTTTCCTAGATCATGCATTTTCACGAATCTTTATTTCGAAAAATATGAGTTTTCGTGAAAATAATGATAAAAGAACAGTCTGTTATTGTCTGATATTGTTGACAAATCATCTAGCACCCAGCTTTTCGACTCCAACATTTTGCGAATTAATATTCTCTTTATTCTTGACTCTTTGTTCTTATAATATCGTTTAACGTTATCTTTTACATTTCGTTTGAATATTACATGCAGTATAATTTGATCTACTTCTTGTTTGTCGAGGTAGAAAGCTCTCTGCGTTTTAAAGGGTTGAGACTGTCTCAAGATTGGCTTATGATTTTTCAACAATATCAGACAATAACAAACTATTCTTCTATCATTATTTTCACGAAAACTCATATTTTTCGGAATAAAGATTCGTGAAAATTCATGATCTCGGAAAGAATGTATTTTCCATTTGTTCATACATTTTTTTCAGAATCTTGCCGGAAAATGCACCCTAGAAAACTACCACATATCTATTTTCATGGGAAAAGAAATTAATTTCGGATCACACGATTAAGAATCTAAACGTTGCAGTCAATTCTTCATCCACTACAACCGCCATATTGGATCCGCCATTTTTAATTTCGGACACCTGACTATGGAATGTTCATGAGTGACTCGAAAACCCCCAGATACCGATTTTCATGGAAATCGAATGAATTTTGAACCACCTGATCAATGAATTAAATGTTTTCAATAAGTTTTTTATCTACTCAAACCGCCATATTAGTACGGCCATTTTTTAATTTTTCAAAACGCCACGTTTTTTCTTAACATAAAAACGAACATATAAAAATGAAAAGTTTAAGCCCTCAAGTCTTATTTTGATTTTATGAATTTTGCCCAGACACTTGTCCCACTTGACGTGGAACGTCCCATATATATATATATATATATATACAGTGTTTTTCAACAGTTTTTTGAAAATTTCTCGAGATAACATACAAGAATATGTATTGAAAAATGGGGGGTTCCATTTAAGAAATTGAAGGTGACCTTTACGTGATCTTGACAATGCTGTTCAAGGTCATATTAATATTATTATGTAATGCGTCACGTAAATATATGTAATGCGTAATGAGAATAGCATGTTACAAAAAGAAAATCGTTCAATAACATTTCTACTATTACACATGCATGATAGTTCTCGAGTCTCCGGTAACATGTCACGTTTTGCCTAATAGTTGGTTTGGAGGCTATTGTTAGTGGACTAGCAACTGGTTGGGCTTCCCCATATTTAGCACAATTAACATCGACTGAGGTGGACACTTCGTTAAGGCTAACCGACATCGAGGCGTCTTGGGTGGCATCCTTTCTAAGTCTTGGGCGTTTGATCGGAGCGCTTCTTGGTGCTTTTTGTCAAGGTAAGGTTCCATCACCATCGTTCTTTATCGAAGAAGAGATTCATCGATCAAAAGTTTCAGATTTAGCAAGGTGGATCATTTCATTTCGATTAGACTCGTTCTTTGAGTTTGTTTAATTTCTAGAGTCTATTTAGATTCGAAACAATTGAGATTCTCTTCCGGTTGAAAATATACGCGATATTTCGCGACCTAAGAACAAGCCAGCCACGACTCAGCGAAAATAGGAAACAAACTTTTGCGTCTTGACAGTAGAGGCGAAATATCGCGAACAAATAAAGCTGAACAATTCTTAAACCCATTTTGAAAGATGTATATTGAAGAGCCTTGAATCATCATGATCTCGATATTTTTAAAACTTTGTACATTTTTACGTTCTTCAAGTATATATATATATATATATATATATATATATATATATAGTATTCATATATATATATATACACACACATACACACAGGGTGTCTTAAAAATAACGGACCACCCTAATAACTTTTCAGTATTGAAGTTTCAAGGAAAATGATGAATAAAAGTTGTAAGGATTTAAGTGAGCTATCTTATGATGATCTTGACTTTGACCTTGACCTTTATTTCCAAGGTCATTTGAAGGTCAATTTGCGTTTTTTAAATGGGAAACCTTATTTTTTATGACACTGTTTTTTTCTACTAGTTAATTTGAACAACTTTTGTTAAAAACATTTTTCTATTTGTCTAATATTTTTTGAGATATTTGAGGAAAACTTGATAACTTTTTCAATATTTAACTTACGATATCTCGCTAACTATTTGTCGGAAGAAAAAGGGGTACTAGACTTTCTTGCTTTATTTAGTCTCAAGAATATATTGTTATAATAGCGCTTTGACTTTTGTTAACTTACTGACTTTTGGAAATTCCAAAATCATCAAATTAACAAAAATCAGGGCGCTATTGTAACAATATATTCTTGAACCTAAATAAAGCAAGAAAGTCTAGTACCACTTTTTCTTCCGACAAATAGTTAGCGAGATATCGTAAGTTAAATATTGAAAAAGTTATCAAGTTTTCCTCAAATATCTCAAAAAATATTAGACAAATAGAAAAATGTTTTTAACAACAGTTGTTCAAATTAATTAGTAGAAAAAAACTGTCATAAAAAATAAGGATTCCCATTTAAAAAACGCAAATTGACCTTCAAATGACCTTAAAAATAAAGGTCAAGATCAAAGTCAAGATCATCATAAGATAGCTCGCTTAAATCCCTACAACTTTTATTCATCATTTTTCTTGAAACTTCAATACTGAAGAGTTATTAGGGTGGTCCGTTACTTTTGGGACACCCTGTATATATGGAGATTTTTATCGGTAATATATTTATATGTATTGACCAGTATTAATTTCTACATTCTTGAAATCTCCATTCCTAATCCCAATCGTAATCCTAATCGTTCGTGACCTTTTGCTAGAAGATGTTTTCCTTCTTGCCACGCACTTCCCACATAGGATAATCTGAGAGACGCTTTAGCGCGAAAAAAACGAGGATAATAAATTGCTTCTCTTATCATTGAAGATCAAATCGCAGATCTGAGTTGTGGTGATCTTGTTCTCAGGATGACATGTCTTTAACACGTGTCACGACACAATCCTTCAGAGTTCATTGGACGAAAGAGAGTACTGCTGTTGTCGGGATTTCCGTTAGCCTCAAGCTGGATCTTCACCATCTGCGCCACATCGGTCACATGGATATACTGGTCCAGAATTTGCTCTGGGATCGGATCGGGCATAATGTGGCCCGCAATGTCTTTATATCTCGGCGAAATCGCTGATCCTGCCATTCGAGGCTCGCTGGTAATTTAGTTAACATAAGAAATTAAGGGAAAAAATCGCTCTTCTTATTTCTCCATATCGAGTTTCATTGCATAATTTTCTCGCTCTTTTATTTTTTCTTAAAATCTATGTGCAAGTCGTTGGGCAACATTTTTATGTCATAATTCTTTTTTTCCTATAGTATGAATTTTCGATCACATTATATAAATATTTCATGGATCATTTTTCATGAAATTTACATAAATCCCTGATGTTTCATTCTTCATTATTGCATTTTTAGAACTCTTATTATTCTTCTCCTCGATAAATTAAGGCGTTGTTTCCGGCGGGTCCTTTTTATATGTTACTTTCTATGTTACTCTGTTCTCTTTCGCACAAGTTCTTGAATCGTGTGTTTTTCAAAGAAGATTTTGAATAATCTCTTTTAGATATAAGAATCCTTTGAATATATATTGGGTTGGCAAATAAGTTCGTTCGGTTTTTGTTTCAGTGTAAGTTTCATGCGGATTCGCTTTTCTTTTCTCAGCGCTATCGTGCAAATCGAATACACATTTGAAAGGTTATGTTTCACTGTTTATGTTGTGCTATGTTTGGTTTGGCTAACATCAGTATTGTATGTGCTGCGTGAACATGGAAATAAATGACGTGCATTATCGTCTTTTGTTCTATTATTTTAAAACAGGCAAACGAGCTGCGGATGCTCATAAAAAGATATGCCGTGTGTATGGAGATAATGCCTTAACAGAATGTGTATGCCAAAAGTGGTATGCCAATTTCCGTTCTGGAGATTTCGACGTCAATGATGCGCCCTGCTCCGATCACCCGACCGAGATTAATTCAAATGACATTAAGGCTATAATCGAAGTAAATCCATCTTAATCGGTACGAGAGATTGCTACGATATTGAATATATCCCACACAAGCGTAGAAAAGCATTTGCATCAGCTGGGATACGTTTCTCGGCTTAATGTTGGATGCCGCATCAATTAACCGAGGCTAACTTGACCACACGCATATACATCTGCGATTCGCTACGGAAATGCCAAGAAAACGACCCATTTTTGAAACGAATGGTGACGGGTGACGAGAGAAATGGGTCGTTTATGATAATGTAATGTAAAAGCGTAAAAGATCATGGGGGCAGCGAGCCACCGCAAACAACCTCGAAGGCGGGATTGCATCCGAAGAAAATAATGCTCTCCGTATGGTGGGATTTCAAGGGTGTCATCTATTACGAACTGTTACCGTCAGGCAAAACGATTGATTCAACTATATACTGTTCGCAATTGACGAAATTGAACCAAGCAATCCGCACAAAATGTCCAGAATTGGCAAATCGCAAGTCGCTTCCATCACGACAACGCCAGACCTCATACGTCATACGTCATTGACCACTCGGAACAAATTGCTTCAGCTTGGCTGGGATGTTTTACCTCATCCTTCGTATTTACCGGATCTTGCCCCTTCCGATTATCATTTATTCCGGTTGCTGCAGAACTCTGTGAGCGGGAAAACCTTCAAAAATAAAGAGGCCGTTAGAAACTACCTGGATTAGTTTTTCGCCGATAAGCTCCAGATGTTTTACGAACGCGGCATAATGAAGTTGGTGGAAAGATGGCTAGAGGTCATCGATAAAGATGGCCAATATATAATTGATTAAAATTTATCTTTATCTTGTGTATCAAAAAATTGTGTTTTATTCTACTCTAACAAATCGAACGAACTTATTTACCAACTCAATATATACACAGAAATAATACATTCAACCGAGACCGACAAAATTTGGAATGAGAACGAGTTAGAATTTAATTTTGATATCTTATTATTGATAATATTATTAGGTGTACAAATGAATAATCCAAATTACTTTAAGCAGTTATGAAATCAATTTTAAATTGAGTAGATTTTCCCGCTCTTTTGTGATTATGCAATGTTGACATATAGCTATTAAAAAGAACATAGTTTGGCGAAAGGCCCAACATAACCTTCAAAAGTATTGAGTTCAGTACAGTCGAAAATGGCAACAGATAAGGTGCATATCTGACACTGCATTCTTTACGAATTCCAACAAGGAAAAAATGCTGCAAGAGCGTGCGAATCGATTTGTTCCTTTCTCGGTGAACGTGTTGTATCGTACGATGTGTGCGCATTTTGGTTGAAACGGTTTAAAAGCGGTAATTTCAGTCTAATCGACAAACAACGTCCTGGAGGTCCTCCGAAGTGCGATAATGATGATTTGGAACAACTGCTCGCTGAGAATTCGGCACAAACACAAAAAGAGCTTGCAGAACAGTTGGGAGTAATGTAGCAAACGATTTCCAAACGCCTACATGAGAAAGATCCAGAAAGAAGGAAAATGGGTTCCGCATGAACTCACTGAAACCAACAAAAATCAACGAATGGCAGCGTGTCTTTCTCTTCTCAATAAGCGTCGAAAGTCTTTCTTTCTGGAAAATCGTTACGGGCGATGAGAAATGGATACTCTATGACAATCCGAAACGCAGAAAGTCATGGGTAAATCCCGGCGAATCATCAAAATCGGCCGCAAAACGCAATCGCTTTGGAAAGAAGGTTCTTCTCTGCATTTGGTGGGATATCAAGGGCGTGATTTGTTATGAGTTATTGGAACCGGGTGAAACAGTTACTGCGGACCGCTACCAATGTCATTTAATCTGCTTGAGTCAAGAATTGGAACGAAAACGCCCGTATACTGGCAAAGGAGAACGTCCAGTGAAATTGTTGCATGACAACGCCAGGCCACACATTGCTTTCAATACAAAAGACATCATAATGAGTCTTGGCTGGGACGTCTTGCAGCACGGCCGGCGTATTCACCAGACATTGCTCCATCCGATTACCACTTGTTCCGGTCGATGCAACACACCTTATCCGATATGCACTTCCAATCAGTGGATGAGATCCGAAAATGGCTTGACGACTTTATCGTGTCCAAAAACGTAACATTTTTCCGAGATGGAATTCATCAGCTGCCTGAAAGGTGGCTTAAAGTTATAGAAAGCAACGGCGAATATTTTGATTGAACAATTTAATTTACTTTCTTTTAAAATAAACCTTGAATGTAGCTAAAAAAATTGGATTATTCATTTGTACACTTAATAGTATATACAGCGGGTTCTCATATGATAAAGGATATTAAAGCATGTAGCGGTAGAAACGAGGTCGCTCGCGAGGTTACGGCCACCATTCGGGGTTCGGCCGATACTTTCAATATTAAAACTTCATTATCTTCTCCCAGGATAATTAAAGCAGGTTACAAGAAGAACGACGGAAACACCGATTATGGATTAAAGTGTAATGCTATTACATTATAAACTATTAATTTTTAATAGTTAGGAATGTTAATATTAATTGTTGAAGCAATTAATTGGTCAGTGTTAACAACACAATGACCATAAAAATACTCTTCTTTCACCATTAATATTCCGTTCTCCGTGATCTGTCGCTGTGTCCTTTTAATTATCTCATGATTTGCTATATGTATTTACCAATCTTCGTAACAACGGCGATGGAAGCTTCAAAACGATAACATGACGACATCACGTCTTCAGATAGCCATGAACGTAAACGCGGCGTCAGTGGGTCTGTTCTTGGGCAATGCAATGGGTCCTTATCTGTCCATGGAGATGTTCGCTTACGTGAGTCTCGTGCCGAATATCCTCTTTGTGGTTCTCTTCAGTCTGATACCTGAGTCACCCTATCATTATGCCCTTCACGGCGATATTGACGAAGCCGAGGCATCTCTCAAGTGGTTCCGACGAGAGTCTGACGTCAAGGCCGAATTGCAGGAGCTCCAGGATTTCGTCAATGGTGCCAACACTAGTACTTTGACGAAACTTAAAGAATTTCTGCTACCAGGTATCTCTGAAGAGTAAAGAATCGCTCGAACGCGTCTTCAATGTAATATCCGAAATATTCTTTTTCTTTCCTTTCTTCTCTTTAATTTTGATAAGCAACATTTTCTTCATAATAGATGCGATTTTTGTTCGAAGGAAATAAAGATCTAAATTTCTAATATATATATACATATATATTAGAGATGTATGATATATATCCTTCTCTCTATTTTTTGAGAAAACTTATAATTGTAAGATTCAATAATATGTAAACGTTCCAAAAATGTACATTTTCAAAGAGCCATATGTTCTAAAAAAGGTTCGAAATTTCAAAGAAATGAAGAGTTCCTGAAGAAAAATAAACTCATATTGCATAATTAACTGACCTTAATGTGTAAAATCTGATGAATTAATTAAAATCGATATCTTTGGTTTTGTTCTAGCGAACTTGAAGAACGCCATGATTATGTTCGGCTTGAACATCTTTGTGTATGCGAGCGCATACAGCACGCTAAATTCCTACGCGGAGATTATCTTGATTAACAGTGAAGTAAGCGTCACTCCGTCGATTGTGGTGATGGTGCTGGGTCTTTCTACGATTGTCGTCGGTTCTACCGTCACCTTGGTAGTGGACAGGTTCGGGCGAAAGAATCTTTTAATAGTCTCCAGCTTCGGCGTTGCTGTTTCGCTCGTTGTTCTCGGCTTGCACTTCTATCTTCTCTCCTTGGGTTTAAATCCTGAGATACTGACGTGGTTGCCGATTACATCTTTGCTGTTCTTCAACATTTTCGCGTCTTACGGCTTAATGCCGGTACCTAGTACTCTCTTGAGCGAAATGTTTCCAGCGAATCTCAAGAATTTAGCATCGCTTTGCATCGCCTTGGGAAACGCGCTATTTGCCTTCATGTTTGCCAAGACCTATCAACCTTTCATCGATGTGGCTGGAGAAACAATTGTCTTCTGGTGTTACGGGCTTTTCGTATTATTAGCCGTGCCCTACGTGTGGTATTTTATTCCCGAAACGAAAGGCAAGAGCTTATTGGAGATTCAACAGACCATCAAGCAATAGGGTGTCGCGAAGGACCGGAAACTATCGAAATCGACTTTGATAAGAAGTTGAAATGTTGATGAAGAAGTGAAATATCGATTATAAACGAATCTAAGAGAAATTCGGCTAAGAATTTATAATAAAAAAAGCATGAGAGAGAGAGAGAGAGAGCCTTGAAGTATCTAATATATAAATTCAAAGTTTCAAGCATGGATTAGGAATTTGGATATTGGAGGATCTCTGGAACTTGAGATTAAATTGTTAAGCTGATACACTGGTTTCTAAAATCCTGATTATAATTTACAATTCGAAATTTATGCAATAAGTGATACTTTATAAATTGAATTGTTGATATTTGTTTTTTAAAATATAGTGTAATAGACACACATATACACACACTGCGCAATATATAACTTACATATACGCGCGCGGAGTGTGATTACTTTAAATTAATATTGTTATTTAAATCTGACGCGTTATTTAGGTGAACATAACACATAAAAAATCTTGTTGGTGACATTAATATTAAAGAATATCAGGCTCTTCTACCTCACGATTTAATTCACCTTTCTTATTTAATCTCTATTATTTTCGTGACTTCTATCAATATAATTTCTTTATAAATACATATTACACATATATACATATAACATACATCGTTTTCATAAAATAATATGTTATTGATAGTAGTAAAAAAATAATAATTGGTTCACAAAATAATTCGAGAACCTTATAAAATTATAGGGGTTTGTTCTTATTCGCAAATCTACAATTATAAATATATTTTTATACTGCTTTGCACTAGTTCTCTTTTCTTCGTTCTTCTACCAAGTTTCAATTATATAGCTGTTTTTGTTTAAGTTTCGAAAGTATACGTCAGTTTTTAGAGAAAGAACAGACCTTATAAATAATTGTAGCTGATGTATGATCATAACTACTCGATTGTGGATGTAATTATATATATAATCGGTCTAAAAACAAATGATAATTTTACCAACACAATGATAACCTTACAATTAATTGATTTCGATTACGTTATCGATCCGACAATATGAAATCACTATCAACATTTCTAAAATATTCTATATTCTCCTCAAGTCGAAGATTATTAGTTCGACTTTTACACGGTATGTATTTTCATGAACATGTTATTGTTATCATCTTCATCATGAATATAACAGTAGTAAAAGAAGGTATTTCTAGCAACAAAATACATTTCTTGCCTAGCACTTCTTGACCTAGCATCGCGATAATAATGATGTATTTCATAAAAGATGTATCAATGGGTTAATTGCGAATATGCAATCATTTTAACCAGTTTTTAATTTCGAATAAATAATGAGCGTAGTATGTTTCTGTCATAACATCTCAACGCCACATATTCGTCATTTTGCGATATCTTTTAAATAAATAGAAAATGATATAGAAAGAAGAAACAAAACCATGATAAAACATAAAACACGTACAAAGCGAGGAGTAAGAGAACAAATTTACTTGCGATTTTGCTTTATTCTTTTAAAACAGACACGATAGCGGAAAAGGATGTGTAACACTATATTTCTTAACCATTGAAAAGGCTACGATTTCATGTTCGGTGCAAAATATCAGAAATTGTTTTCGACCTCAGATTTGTATTATCGTTTAGCATACTAGTTACACACGACACTCGTGTATCAGAACACACTATCACCAAACACGCTATCGTCAAAAGGGTATCGTTAATTATATATGAATGTAACATGAGTGATCTTGTACAATTGAATAACACTACGCATAGATGATCCCGAGTGACCTTGACATTAATTAATTTTTATCGATTTACTTCTTACACATCCCATATACTGATTTTTTAGACTGCAACTAGCTGCACCGTTCAAATATCATAGCGAATCAACTGGTTCGGGTCGAAAGAAACAATATGAGACGCGAGAGACACGAAATTCAAACACACGCCGCCATTACGGCTACAGGACTAAAGGCTCGTCTACAATAGTTGTAAGAGTAAAGGCTCGTCTACATTAGCTATAAGAGTAAGACTGTTAGGTTGCAAGACACGAAATGAAATATTTTCATTTGCTGACAGCTTACGTTACAGCCTTACAGCCTTACTCTTACAGCTATTGTAGACGAGCCTTTAAGGTCATTCTACAATACGTGTCGTAAGTTGTAAGCCGTAAGAATTGACGAATCACAGTCGATTATTACAAAAATAATCGGCTATAATTGGTCAGTTCTTACGGCTTACAACTTATGACACGTATTGTAGAATGTTCTTAAGGCTGTAAGGCTGTAACGTAAGCTGTCAGCGAATGGCTGCATTATTGTCTGTGATTAGAGCATTCTTTTAGATTCTTCATAGACCCAGAAGTATTTACCAATCAGGAGCGAGAATCACTAAGCGCTCACTGATCATTTTGTTCTTCTGAACGCGGCCATTGAAAATATTTCATTTCGTGTCTTGCAACCTTACAGCCTTACTCTTACGGCTAATGTAGACGAGCCTTAAAGGCCCATCTACAATGGCTGCAAGAATAAGGTTGTAATCGTAAGCAGTAAGAAATGGACCAACTATAATCGATTATTCTTATAATAATCGATTGTAGTTGGTCTATTTCTTACTACTTACGCTTAGAACCTTATTCTTGCAGTCATTGTAGATGGGCCTTAAGGCTCGTCTACATTAGCTATAAGAGTTAGGGCCAGATCACAGACTTCTGCATAACGCATAATACACAACGCATAAGAGAATCAACCAATTAGAGTTCTTCATTTCTCTCCTCAGAACAGAAATGAAGAATTTTGATTGGTTGATTCTCTTATGCGTTATGTATTATGCGTTAAGCGTGGTCTACAATGGCCGTAAGCAGTAAGAAGAAAGCGTGAACAGTAATACCTCGTTTGCAATAGAAGTCATAGAGTCGTAAGTTGTACAAATTGACCAATCGCGGTCGATTATTTTTCTCTTACCGGACTATGATTGGTCAATTTGTACGACTTCCGACTCTATGACTTCTATTGTAGACGAGGTATAAGAAATGGACCAACCACAGTTGATTATTTTTGTCATAATCGACTGTGATTGGTTTATTTCTTACCGCTTACGCTTACTTCTTACTGCTTACTGTCATTGTAGACGACACTTTAAAGCGTGGTCTACAATGGCCGTTTTACAATGGTCTACAACAGAGCTGGCCACGATCTGCACATTTCGGGCGAAATTCAGTAGGTGACGCCTACCGTCCCCCTCGCACCGCTCCGCGCTCAGCGGCCGGGGCGACAGTCGCGGTACACTCAGGCCCGTCGCTGTATAAGAAATCAGCTGGGGCGTCACATTATCATTAAAATTGTTTCCTCGTTTAATAATCACGTTAAAATAAATGTTTATGCATTATATATGTATGTATGTATGCATATATATATATATATATATGTATGTATTAAACACGTAAGCATATATATTTTAAAGTAATTATTAAAGGAGGAAACAATTTTAATGATAATGTGACGCCTCAGCTGATTTCTTATACAGCGACGGGCCTGAGTATACCGTGATCGTCACCCCAGCCGCTGAGCGTGGAGCGGTGCGAGGGGGACAGTAGGCGTCACCTACTGAATTTCGCCCGAAATGTGCAGATCGTGGCCAGCTCTGGTCTACAATACCACGTTTTAAACGTGGTCTACAATGACAGTAAGCAGTAAGAAGTAAGCATAAGCGGTAAGAAATAAACCAATCACAGTCGACTATGACAAAAATAATCAACTGTAGTTGGTCCATTTCTTACTGTTCACGCTTACTTCTTACTGCTTACGGCCATTATAGAACACGCTTAAAGGCTATGGGCCTGAGCACAGACTTCTGCATAACGCATAATACATAACGCATAAGAGAATCAACCAATCAGAGTTCTTCATTTCTGTCCTGAGGAGGGAAATGAAGAACTCTGATTAGTTTATTCTCTTATACGTTATGTATTATGCGTTATGCAAAAGCCTGTGCTCTTGCCCTATCACACACACTTTCCGTAAGACATAACAGTAAGGTTTCGACCAATCGTGTTATTTGTTTTGGTTACGGTTACGAACGGTCGAATCGAGTCATGTGATTGATCGAAATCTGTTATATCTTACGGAAAGTGTGTGTGGTGACTTTAAGTGAATGCCGTGCTGTCATGTGATTATTATAGCAAGTCTTTAGTTCGCATCCATTGGATGTGGTTCCTGTAATTACGCATATTTTTTGATCGTGGGGACTGCGTACGCATTGTCCTTGTTTTTCTTTTACTTTCATATTACTGGAAAATGGCGTATAGACAAAGCTAAATGCAGTCCGGAGTCATATATTGAACTGAACTGAACTGAACTGATTATTATAGCATAGCGCGCGAATTCTCTATTTGTTACAAATAGAGAATGTACGGCTAAACAACTATATAGTTATAATGCTTAATTCTAAAACTTTTAATACGAAGTAGTATAATTACCATTTGTGGAATATCAATATAATTTTGATGAATGCAAATTTGAATATTAATGATACCGGCTTTAACTCTCTCTCTCTTTCTTTCTCTCTCTCTCTTTTTCTCTTTCTCTCCATCTCCCCCTTTTTCCCCATCAAACTTACTTACTCTCTCTCTCTTCTCGCTCTCTCCCTCTCACTCACTCATTCTCAATATTGGCTTCAGGTTCAAGCATCTGTTAAGGGGATGCTGGAGTCGTCAACGAACTTGCAAAGCGTCGATAACGTAGAGGCGATCGTCGAAAAGTAGGGAACGTTATCATCTGTTATCGACGTTAGTGAATTTTGGTACACATATGTGTATATATATTTACATAGTATTTATATAGTAAAGAAAATTGCCGGATAAGCGCTGATGCGATTACGCTATCCTTTCATCGCATTTTTCCATATATATCTTTTCTCACAGACTTCGGACAAATGTGTGTGTGCTGCATTGTCATTTCGACTTTTCTACACACAGATCTTATATGAATGTGAATGCGACGCTGTCGATATTTGCTTTCTCTCCGAAATGTGCATTTGGCTGTTGCTTTTCGGATTCTTCGATTCGCTGATGTATATACAGTGTAACATAATAAAGAATAACTTGAGCATTATTAGAATAACTTGAATATTATTACACGAAAATGATTCTTCAGAAACAGTAGGCTTGCTTGTTTTCATGTAAATCGGTTTTTCACTTTATCGTATCAGCGACTTCTTTTTGTCAAATTTACGTCGCACTAGCAGTCCGGAAAACGTTTTCGTACAGTGAATATTCCTGCCAAAATAAAGCGGAGTATTACAAATCATCCGAAGAAAGCGATAGGAAACTTGCAACATTTACGTCGCACTGAAAGTACGGAATTGAAAACGCTTTTGTACGGCAAATATTCCTGCCCAAAATAAAGTGGAGCAATAAAAAACATGTTAGAAATACGATGAGGAATTATTGTGAATAAAATACCGAACTTTCTTGCAAAGTTTACGTCGCACTGGCTGCATGGAATGAAAAAGACTTTCGTACAGTGAATATTTCTGCCAAAATAAAGTGGAAT